AGAAGACTCGTATAAGGTTGCCACCTATTCCAAATGAGTTACAAATTAATTAAAACATCATAATATGGGTATCAAATGGAAGGTATTTTAAAGATCCCTAATTCAAAAATATTTTTAATAGGGTCGCCACCTTGTTTGAATCGTATATTTACTTAATTTTTTGTTAAGAAAAAAAGGTGAAATATTACTACTCATGGGTAGTTTCGATACTGCCCAATTTATCTAAAACATCGCAACATTAATATCAAATGAAAGGTATTGTAGAGAACTTTGGTCAGAAAATATTTTCCATTAGGGTAGCCACGCTTCTATGTAATACAAATTTTTATTTTGTTAATTTCAATCAGCATTTTTTTATGTATACCCAGTACATATGTATTTCCATTCCAGCGTATTTCGGAATAGGGTTGCCACCTAAATTTTGGAGTAAGAAATTTACTTAATAGATATCGAAATCCAATTTTTGTTTTCTATTTCCAAAATATTTTTTTAAAGCTATCTAAATCTTGAAGACTTGAAAAAGTATATGCACTCCGGGCAAAGCTCGGTCAACCTGGTACTATTCATTATATCAGGACAAATTTTACATTAACATTTTTCATATTTTCTTTACAAATCGGGCAATCGAGTCGGCCCCGCACGCTGGCAAATAAAAATTCCTTCCGACCAAACTACATCGAAATGCACGCATGTTTTCATAGATATATGCAGAAATGTTTATTACAGAAGTTGTTGTTAAAAATTTTCGTCCACTAGGCGCAGGAATTGCTAAAATGTTAAATTTTTCATAAAAAAAAATATTTAAAAGCAAAAAAAAATATTTTTGTAACGCTAATAATTTAATTGTATAGTTTAATGTTTTGCACCCAAAATTTTTTTTTCATTCGGACACTTACTTTCAAAGAAAAATAAAAATTTCCAAAACACTGCAAAATTTTTCAATTGTTGATTTAAAAAAAAAACTATATGGAATTTTGCAACAAAATTTACACAGTGTACTTTTCGACTACAAAACTCGGCGCTGCCTGAATATCATTGAAAAATATTAATCTTGGTAAATTCGGGGCCCACTTGAGGAAGCCTTACCCATATGTAAGAAAACCTCCGACAATCTGACGGAGGTCTATTCAGTGGTTTTTGATGCATTGCATTTGCAATATATGCATTTGCATATACTGTTTTTTTTACGTTTTAGTCTGTACAAGAATTTAAGGAATATCCCGAGCTACATACGGAGTAAATTTTTGGTCGAAATATTTATTTTCAAGGTGCTGGCATATGTTTTAATTATGAACCAAATCGGTGCAGCGCTTTAATAGTTTAGTGAATTACATTGTACAGAAAACTGTATGAAATTGTAAAGTGTGACGTCTCAGATTTCTTAATTTTTTGGCAGCAACAACAAAAAGTTTTCATTTTTTTTCAGCGAAAAACCTTCCACACAGAAGTTCCAAAAAAGTGCGATTGATTATGTTTGAACACACTTAATTGAATGTCAATAAAATTAAGTTTGTGGTTAATGTGCGAAATTTTGAGAACAGTCCGTTGCTAACTCTAAATATAAACAACGACACACTGGAAAAAGTTAATACATTCGAATACCTAGGAATAATGATCGACGATAAACTAAAACAAAAAAAAAAAACAATGGATTCTATATTTTCAATTAGAGCTCTAGCAATGTGTGCATCGGTGAAAACTGCATTTAATTCCATACATTGTTTTGCGTGATGCGCTTACAAACATACAGACAAACAGACCAAAATTATAAAAATTTTATATTTGGCTTCTGTTGATCTAATAAACCCCCTATTAATTTTTCTTTAAAACCTATTACAATTTTATTATTCTCAAATACATTCGTTTGATACCTATATGGCAATATTTAGCCTATCTTATCAATTTACCTGAATTACACTTTTCAAATAGGTGGCAACCCGCTTCAAAAATATTTTCGGAATTAAGCTCCCTAAACCACTTTAGTTTCTTATCTGTATTGTAATATTTAATTTATTTTACCAATTTAAATGAATAAAAGTTTTCAAACACGTGGCAAATCCCTTAAAAATATTTTCGGCATTAAAACTTGCGAACCTCTTTGGTTTGATGCCAGTATTGCAGTATTTAATTTATGATATCTATTTAATTAAATAATAGTTTTCAATTAGGTGGCAACAGTGTTGTCAAGTTTTGAATTTGAAAAAGCACTAAAACCCCAAAAAAATCGCGTTTTTTTCGAAAGAAGCACCAAATTTTTTATTGGAGGATTCAATG